TTGCCAAATCTGGGGGATAGCAAGAGATAGCCAAATCAAAAAAATTCAGGTGGCCCAGAACAAAATAGCGAGACAAATTACAGGCTGTGAGTGGTACATTCGAAATAGCGTGCTACATAGGGACCTAAAACTAGTTACGGTACTACAACAAATCAACTTCCACTCCAGTCGGTACAACTCAAGACTGATGAACCACAGGAATCGTCTCGCTAATGATCTCACCATTACTCGACCGAGGCAGAGGATCAAAAGACGTCAACCAAGAGACTTAGTGCTAAGATAACAATAGCTTAATAGCTAAACATTAATTATAAAACAACATGAGAGTATTAGACCAAACTAGAAAAAGCTATATTAAATATTCCCTATAGCCGGAGCGCCAATTGGCAGAAACAATAGAAAATAAGGTAATAAAAGGGTTCATAGCTATCCTGTATATCTTAATAAACTACAATAAAAAAAAAAAAAAAAAAAAGTAATCGGTTGACAAGGCCTGGGTGTATCGCGGGTATGTACTGCTTTTTGGGAACTCGAAAATAATACAGCATAATAAAATATACTTGGCCAATCGTATCTTAAACAAAACCCTATTGATGATTTGTGATTATTATTTTTAAAGGGCAGTTGGAGCCATATGGAAAGTGTCAACTCGGAATGGGGCATTGCGGAGCTAAGGAGTGTTTTTCTTTTCGGGTGAAAGCCTCATTCACCGCCACAGCTGCTCCATGTTGTTGCATTTTAAGTTCGCTGGTGAGCGCTTTTGATGGCTTTTTTTGGGCTCCGTCCTGGGCTCCTCGCGTCCATGGGACCACGAGTCCATCGTGTGTTGATGTTGATGACAGCATTCGAGGAGCTAAGGAGCTGGGGAGCAGCCACGTCGACCCCATGATGAAGTTGTCGTTCATCGTTCATCGTTCATCGGGGGCCTGCTCGTTAAGTTGCCTTAAGTCAAGTTGTTTGACAATCTTCGCAGGAAGAGGCGGCGAAGTAGCCGACGAGCAGCCAAGACAGGCTGGGCTGGGGAAAAAAGTGTTATAAATTGCATTTAGTGTCGGGGCACGTCATTGCTGATTTGTTACGGCTGCCATGGCTAACGGCTGACGGGGGCCAAAAGGTCAACCTCCAGGCCATAACAATGGCTTCTGTCCGGATGCCACATATGTATACTCGTAGGTACACCACAGCCCAGCACCAGCAGATCGTAGTGGCCCGATCTCACATATGCAAATTGGCGCTGCAATGATGCGTTCTGGAATTCCGAATTGTTTACAAATTTTCCAACAAAATGCTAGCGGGAGGAGCCTAGATATGCTAAAATAAAACTTCAAGTCATAAACTAAAGACTTTGTTTACAAATTAAATGCAGCATGCAGCATGCAACAAGCAACAAGCGACATCTTCATCGCGTCCAGTGGAACCTGGCAAAGCATGGCTCTATATCCTCGCCCATCCAGATATGCGACTCCAGATACAGGCCTCTTGCTTTTGCTTATGAATTCGCTGCCCGGACCTACCCACCTGCAACCCACCCCCTCTCCCCCTCCCCCTCCCACCCCTTGGTGGGGCACCAGCCGATCCCTCCTGGCGCTTGGGTGTGATGTGTCCGCTGCACTGTCCGCCGGTCCCTTTGTCCGTACACTGTGAGAAAGTATCACCGACCAAGCTCGGTCCACAGGGAATTATATTGGTGAAACAGATGCAGATAGGACTTATAAATATTACAACTAAAAATAAATTAAAATATTAAAAAATTAAAAATATCAAAATATTAAAATATCAAAATATTACAACATATGCAGATTGCTAATGAAACCAGTAGAAGAGTGATCATGATTATTAATACTTTTGTTCTTAAATAGGCTAGCTCATTTTTAAGAATTCACACAGTTTTGAATTTATATGATGTGAGCACCAAGTATTTTTGGCCGTGTACGTGTCCGTTTGTCCGTTTTGTCCGCCGGCTCGTACTTTATGCCCACCGTATGCAAAGCAGCCCGCAGCCCAGCTACATGTGTTTTACATGAATTTTAAATGATATGTTAAATAAAAATGCGCAGCTAAACAGCCCAAGGCACCGCAACCACAGTGAAGACAACGAAAACGGACAAGACATACGAAAAACAGTGAGTGCAAGGAGTGCGTGGACAACTCACAGCACACGCAGTCATAAAACAGTGGACGCGAATGTGAAATTCCATTAATTTGCCGACTTGCTTATAATTCCCAAGTTTATTATTTAATTACTCCACTTTGGTTTTCGCTTGGCTTTTTTGTTGTACCTCACAGCCAATTGAAACATGGACCTTAGCTTAATAAACCCACTGTGCCATCTCATAAAAAATCGGAGGGATAGAAGCGGGGCCCTGGTGAAAAACTATGCAAACTTTATGCGAATCTAAAATATTTGCACTGGGCAAGCGCATGCGCAGCACACTCAATTGTTCAAATACATTTATATATATCGCAGAGGCAGGGAGAAGAGGAAATCCAGCTGGGGAGGGAAAACTGGGCAGCAGCCGCCGATGGTCGCAGTTTGGAGCTGCAGTTGGATGCTGGATGCTGGATGTTGGATGTTGGACGTTGGACGTTGGATGCTGCCTGATGCTATCAATTCAAAGTCAAATGGGGGGACAACAAAACAAATCGGCGCTGCATCTATAATGAGCCCAGCCAGCGTGGACGGCACTCCGAGATCTCTGGCGCAAAAAAGAAGCAACAAAAGAGAAAAAAGTTTAAAAAAACAATAAAAACAGAAACAGAAACAGGCCGGGCCAAGGCCCCAAGTCGGAATTGATGAGAGCGGGGGCACCATATGGCCAGCGGGCTCGGGTCCAGCCAACCCAGACTTTGGTCCGATGTTTTGACTTGCATGTGCCTCATTGAGTTGTTCGGAGTGGAGGAGCCTGCCTCCTCGCCGTTAGCCTGCTGGAGTCCCGATCTTGGAGAGCACGATCGGCTGCAGGGACACCCACCCAACGCACACACATCGGCCACAGGTGGGGTCAATAAAATAGCACAGGGAACCCTGGGGTGTGCAGAAAAATCGGACTCTTGTAGTTTGAAAATCTTAAAATATATGATACATATGATAAATTTACAATGCGAAAATACAAATTCTTGCAATCAAAATTAAATTAAATTGTACTTTAATTAGCAACAAGTTTTATCCTTTTGTCAAAAGACTTTTTCCACACATTTTAAAACGAAAAGTTGCATTTTTACAAGACTGAAAAGATTAAAATGCAGTTTACAAGCTCAAGTTAATTATAGTACAATTCGATTCTATATTAAGCTACTTTTTCCTAAGGTGGCTATTTCATTGACCGCGAGTGTGCACACAGATGCGCCCAATGCCCTGGGGCCATTGCATTATTCCCGTTCATAGTCCGATTCGCATTGATTGCAAAAATTGTTGAATGCCGCACAATTGAATCCGGTCGCGGGTCCATAAATGTCTTCATTATGATCTTGAGTAGTTTGGCCAATTTGCTGGCTCTCAACTGACCAACTGGCAATCGAGTGCATTGCGGAGATTTCGTCCTCAAGATTTGGAATATTTAATAAGACCAGTAGAAAAAGTCGCTCTAATAATCTCTTTAATATAATATTTATATTTTTGATCAATCGGTTGGTTGTATAAGCCTTGTTAAAGTTAATAAAACAATTAGCTGACTGGGCCAGTTGGCATACTCAATCATTTTCCAGCGCGAAAATTGGCAAGTGAAAAACTGTGCCAACACCCAAATGGGGAATCACTTACGTGGCTGGGTGAAAATCATGCAAAATGCAGCAAAACAAAGGCCAAGAACGGAGTTCCTGTCGAAATGGGAAATGGGAAATGGTAGTTGGGAGTTATAATCGCGCCAAGGAACGACTAAGGCAAAAGCAAAGGCAAAGGCAAAGGCAAATCAGGCATTAAATTGCTCATGAGGCCGACAATTTCTTTAAACACAGAGCGCAGAGCAGCGGCTGAGTTGGTAATAGAAAAGGATTTGACTCGATTGAACACCCGAATTTGCAATTTTCGAGTTAAGCTCCGTTGCGCCCCCAACGCCTCGCAAAAAACCAAAGAAAGAAAAAAGCACAAAAAATTATACTGGTGGGCGGTGAGCCGAAATTATAGCCTAAGCCCAGGCAAGTGGAAGAGCAGACGGCAGTTTTGGCCGTCTTTTTTCCCAATTGCTGCCTTTTTCGGGGCCATCTCTTGGCCAAAGCACTTAACACGTCAACACGGTCGCCGGCGCTGTTTTCCCAAGCATTTGGCGGGTTCGGAGTAGGATTTCGATGGGAGTTGCCACTCGAGCGGAGCCACGAAGCGGAATACGCTGCATCACAAGCGTGAAAAATAGCCAATAACATGGAACGCAGTTTAGTAAGATAATTCCAATTCTTTTTCATATATAGTATTTGATATATACCATAAAGGAAAAGGTTAAGTAATTTATGGGGAATAGTCTTTTGAAACCTTATGCTGACACGATTAAGTTCAAAGTTAAGGCTAAGCGAAGGAAATTTTTTAGCTGCAAGTTGCACTGCAAGAAGTCTGATGTAATATACCAACTGCATTTATTTTATATAATTCTAGTATAAAACGTTTCCGACTATTTACAGTATATATCATAACATATAAAGTATGTATTCTTGATCAGGATCAATAGCCGAGTGGATCTGGCCATGTCCGTCTGTCCGTCCGTCTGTCCGTATGAACGGACAGGCTGAAGTTCTAAACTCCATAGCTCCACTTTTCTTAATCGGATTTTGAAGTGGCATACCTCTAAATGTTTCTGGCGCAATTCTTTAAAAATCTGCATTCAAATTTAGAAATTTATTTTTAATTTTTGTGTCAACAAAATTAATACTGAAGTTGGCTTGAACCAGGTGAAGTGGCTGCGGGTCCTTAATTTTTATTTTGGCCAACTGAGCTGTTAAAGTGGCAACAGGAATATGAGTTAATATGGAATGATCGCAGTGTGCTCTGATATTTCCATACTGGTCAACAGCTTGTCTGGCTTGCCTTAGCCCTTTTCGATTTGGTTATTGTCTAAACATCTGTCAGCAAAAAACTGAAAAATTAACAACAAATTATCTATTGGCAGCTGGCACTGAACATTGGTGAATATGTCGACTGCCCCAGAAGATCGGCTGCGTGAGAACCTCAATCGATGTCTGTCGGACTCCCTGGTGAAGGGAGTTGGTGGTCTGGTGATCGGATCCGTGGTCACCCTGCTCTTCTTCCGGAGGCGCATATGGCCCGTCTGGCTGGGCACTGGATTTGGCGTGGGCGTGGCATATCGTGGCTGTGAGAAGGAGCTCAACGATGTGAAGTTTGGCCAACGGAAGTGAACTTACGCATTCGGACATTGAATTTTACTGCTGCTTACACGTGTTCGGTTTAATGGCTTGCGTTTCTGTGGATTGTGCCACCATTTGAGTAAATAAACTCGAAGAAAACAAAACAAAACAAAACAAAAAAAAACAAATAAATGTCCAATTGCCATTAATTCGCTGTAATTTTTATAAAGGAGAAAGCGATGAAGTGCTCGCACCATTAGCTCTAAAATAAGTGCCATTAGCCTTATCACGATCAGTGTGCGATCTGGTACAAGTGATATATGCCAATCGGCGATAGCGTACGACACCTATTTTTTTTCTTTTGGTCATCCTGAGATGCTCTTTCATGTTCACCGATCTGCTGATCGTTCAAGGGCTGCTCCATAAATCGCCCAGTCCCGTTGCTGGCTGGCTGGTGCTAATGCGACAAGTCCAGCGGATTTCCCCACTGCGCTGCACTCCGCGGCTCACTGAACTTGTCCGCTTCTCGGAAAGATCGCTATTCGCGATCCATTTGCCAAGATATTGTCGAGGGCAGCGCTTCTAATCCAGTCTGCTTCCGAGGCAATCGGACCATCGGCCAGGCAGAGCTAAAACAGAAAAAAAGAAGAAAAACGCAGTCGAAAACCAGAGGAGATTGTGTAGCACGGTCGGCAATTATAATATATACAAAATCCATTACGGTTCACAGGTCAAATGTAGAAATTGAGATAGATCCGCGGCCAGGGGCTGGATTTGGTTCATTGGCAGCTTTGCACGTTTCTCAGCCTTGTTTTAGTGCTGCCAAAGCGAGTTAGGAAGCAAATATATGAATTAGAAACTTACGCATCTCTAAATTGTAAAAATATCACACAAAGTTTAAGTGCCTACCTTTGAGAGCCAATTAACTTATTAAAATTAATACATCATCTGATTTTAATATTTTATATCATTTCTCAGATAATGGGCTTTAAATTTCAGCTTTGTTGACTTGTTTTGGCCAACTAAATGTCCGAATGGGCAGTACTGATCCTGTCGACATCGTCATCGTCGATCAATGCTCAATTCAGCTCAGTTGAGCCTGTAGCGCCGCATCGCATCGCATCCCATGCCCATCAAGATAGTCGAAGACCCATTGCCTCCATCGGATCCCGGTCCACCTATTGCCGATCCTCGATCACCAATCCCGATTCGAGTGGAGTGGTGTGGAGTGGCGTGGAGAGGCAATCGTGATCGACTCGAACTCTGTACGCTGTACGCTGTATTCTGGATACTGGATACTGGATTGTGGGTTCTGGCTGTGGCTACCACTTGCCGCAGCTCAGAATTCGGCAGCACATTTTATCCAGCGCTCCTCTTCCACCGTTTCCACCATATATATATACGATTTACACGATATCCGATGCGGCGACAGATTCGTTGTGGCAGCTACGCAATCTTTGCGGAGATGATGCACTCGGTTCATAAAAATCCAGTTCATTGGGAACTGCTTGGTTTTTGAAAAAGATGTTCTGTGACATATGGCATATATGCCACATTAGTTTAGGCATATTGTTATTTTAATTAACTTTATGCAAATTACTGTGGCTATAATGGTTTGTTGTATGCACTTACATATATAGTAATATGAAATATACTGTATACTATATTTTTTACTATATATAGTAATATGAAATATACTGTTGAATATTTAACTGTTTTTACTATACTCGTATATATTTTCGATTAAAACCCTTATGAAGAAACCTTTGAACTAGTTCCCAAGTCGAATTTGGCCAGTTCTGGCAACCAATTTTCAGCTACACACAATCCCACAAAAACTGAGGCCTAGACCAAATGGCCAAAACCAAAAGCATTCCTCGAAGACTCGAAGCTCTCGCGCTCTCCACGTTTAATAAGCAATTTTGATTTGGAGCAGATTATGTGACGGCCAAACGAGCTGCAAGTTCAGGTTGCATGCCACACTGCTGCACCGATGCACTGCACCATTGCTGCCTGGCTACTGCTGCACTGACATAAAATTCCTTTAAAGGGAAACCTTAAATATTATATTAAAGTTAAATTTACAATTTAAGGCCGAGTGTTTTGAAAGGGAACTGTGCAAGATTGTAAAGCTATTGACTACAGTACTAATATTTAAGACTACCTTTTATTTTTTACTTATATTTTCTAAGGCACAATTGTCTGCGGAATATTTCTAAAAAGTTCCTAGTACATTCCAAAGCCAGCTTACTTTCTCCCAGTGTAGCGCAGCCGAAGGAGCTGCCTGCTTGCAGCTTTTGACTGCGACTTGCACTTGACTTTGTCGCTGACCCGGCAAAGATTTTTAACTGGGACTTGTTGCCAGTTCCTCGGCTCCCTGATGCCGATACTGTTTACATGGAACTTGTACTGATTGCTCCTAGTCATGCCCCCGATTTTGAGATTCGCAATTTTGTGATAAGAGCGCACTGAGCTCTTGCCCCAAGTTCATTTTCGCCGGAATTGCCTGAATTTTTATTGAATTTTAATTGGTCAACTGGTGACGAGCAGCAGCTCCAGTATTCCTTGGCCCTTTCCGAATCCTTGAGGATCGAGAAGCATATGCCTGATGAGCCGCCCTTTGTTTTCTTCTGAGTTTTCGCTACGTTCCGAAATGGCAAAGGTTCCCAAGAAAATTTAGATCAATTTTCCTAATTTACCCGAGCCGCGGCGATTGCGTGTCGTGGCGTGAAAAACGGCACTTGAGGAAAACCCACAGATTTCGAGCAGTAGGAGGAGGAGTTGGTGGAGTTGGTGGAGCTGGTGGAGCTGGAGGAGCTGGAGGAGCAGGCATTCCATTCAGCGGAGGAGGCTGAGGCAGCGGAAAATAAATCACGACTCAAGTTTCGAAAGCGCGAAACTGTTACCAAAGCACTTAAACTTAAATTGGCCAAAGCGAGCTGCGAGCTAATCCAGTCGAGGAGATCCCACAAAGCCCCGACTGTTCTTTTTTTTTCCAGGCCGGGCGGGGAGTCCCGAGTCCCAAATTAGAAATAGTGTAGATAGATACGCCAATAGAATTTATAGCGAGCCTCTCGGACTGCGTTCCTTTTTCTGCTTTCCAACTGCCGCCGCCACCGCTGCTGCGGCTGCTGCTGCTGCTGCTGCTGCTGCTGCTGCTGCTGCTGCTCCTCATGATCATGCCCTGGTCAGGTTAATTTTGGGCACGACCATGGCCAGGCGGCCATGTGGATGACGATGACGATGATGATGGCAACGCACGAAGGAAGCCGCGCCGCCTGCACTGCGAGAAACTTGCCGCTGCAGAGTATAGTTTCAGACTAGTGACGTCTTATGTTAGTAAGTATATATTGATAGATTTTCATTTCAGATCTTTAATATTTACACATTTTTCTTCTAATCCCTTTAGATTTCTAAATATTGCAGAATGTAAACTAAGAATTTGTTCAGGCGTTGTAGCTCGCCTCCCACTGAAATATTCCAAACCTCCATTTGCCAGTGTCAGCATATTTTATTTCCAGTGTGGCAAGCTGGGATGAGCAGGGGCTTTGGGTGGTGGTCATGAGGCTGAGGCAGAAACGTGCTCAGGGATCGCAGCTTAAGTTTAATGGAACCAATTGAAGATATTTTGTGGGCAAGTGATAAAGTTGTATGCCCAGTTGGTGGGTGCCTTCTTCTTCTTCCTCGTCTTCCTCGTCTTCCTCTTCTACTTCTCCAGCCAGGCATGAACAAAATCGTTGGCTTTTCCATCAACAACTCTCTGCTGCAAGTTCACTTCACGAACCCATTAAATGATGCGTATGCCCAACGTGATCATGCGTCTCCGAGGGGCCAGATCACACGATCCTGATACGCAGAGTGGAAAACCCGAGGAGAAATCAGCGTGAAAATTGCCCACCTCCCCTTGCCATCCCACTTCCATCCCCACCACTGCCCCGCCCCCGCGCTGAGTTATGTGAAAATTGCGGAAGAATTTCGTGAGGCGGCTTGTTAGTAGATGGAATGGAAGCAAAGCAAACCAAACCAAGCCAAACCCAAGCAAACCGTACCCCTTTCCAATGCAAACCGAAACCGAACTGCAGCCAAACCAAACTAAACTAAAGTAAACCCACATTGAGCCAGGTCCAAAGGCAATTGGCCTCCAATCAGTTGGGGGAAGTGGGTGAAAGGCGCTGCAAAAGGGGGATTGGGAAGTAGGTTAAGGTAATTCCCAACTTCCCAACATATGGCCAACAAAATGTTAGCTGTCATTGCATTGCGAAAATCTCCGCAGCTGAGTTATTGCATCCAAATGTGTTACTGGCTTCATAAGTGAATCTAAATCTATCAGGTTTACTTTGTACTTTTAAAGAAATGAAAGCAAATTAACAACAAATAACAGAAAAATTGATAATTATGGATCATAATGTATTTATTCTATTACTTTTATATACAGAATAACTTGTTTGTAATATGCCTTATGCATTTTAGATGCTCCATTCCTCTTCGAGTTTTTGGACTTTGGGCTTGCTTGCCTGCTTGTGATGATATTCGATTTTCCGGATGGTGGAAAACCATGGGATCGTTTTTCAGCTGTGTCTGTGCCGCTTGTGACGTCACGCTTCCGCCGCCAACCAATCAATCAAAGGGCCGTCAACTCCACAGCCGGCGTCTCTTTCTGCCGCCCCTTGCCATCTCTTTCTGCGAAAAAGCTTTTCGAGTTGTTCGTGGCTCCGTTTGCGGCTTTCTTATTTATTTTGGCTCATTTTTACGCTTTATGCACTGCGCGTTTCCCCACACACCCCGCCCACTTGCCACTTCTCCAGATGGTTCTACTTTCTGCCAGCCCCACACCAAAAATCGCCGGAACCCCAAACCCTTCCTTTTTATTCACTGCGCTGTTGTCCATTAAATTTGATACCCACTTATTTGGCCAATAAAATTAACCTACCTCAACTTGTTTGGCCTTCGTCATAAAGGTGGGCGAAACACCAGTGCGAGCGAGAGAGATGGTAAGAGGGTGCGTGAAAGAGACAGCAAGGGGCGGAGGGAAAGAGACGCACAAGAACACCCTCCTTGCCATTTGCCTTAATGTCAGACATGCGAATGTTTAATGTGAACTCCAGTCTGGTCTGAAGATGGTTGCACTCTGGATCCCTCATTTTTGGATGAGGG